ACAGAATTACGCATACATTCAGTAAGTGCTTCTACAGTTTTCATGCAAGCAGGAGAATCTACTGAGCTATTAGACCAGCATGTTAAAACAGCGGCCATTTCAGCAATGCAAGGGCCAATTTGTTCAACTCTTCTTGGACGTACTTTAAGCTTTTTTATTTTCATAGTTTTTTATTATGATAACTATCCAGTATTTTTTTTCTAGTACCCACGGGTACTGGAAATTTATCATATGAATATACGTAAATTTTTCGAAGAAATCGAAATTTTGGGGTAAATCGAAATTTTTTGAAATTTGACCAAATTTTGATCAAAATTTCTCGAAAAATCATAAATATTATTATTGGCCAAAAAAAAAATACCTAAGATCACATGATAATACAGTAATAATATTATTGGACGAGAACAATATTAAAAAAATTTTTTTTGTGTTGACTTCGAAATTTATCACAAATCGATCGAAATTTTGCATAAATCAATCGAAAGTTATAGAAATTTTTGCTTCAAATCGAAAGAATTTTTATGTGTCCTTGGATTTACTATTGTTACGGCCATGAGTAGGGCGGGTGTTGTTTAAAGCCCTTAAAATTTCGTTTATCTGTATTATTTGTAAATAAGTTCCTATTTTTAGTATATATTTGTTATTTTGTTGTACAGTCCAGCAGTCATCGGCAAAAGTAACGCCTGATTTTGATCCCGTGATCGATGATCATATAAATACGTAATGTTTACCTCTTATAGCAATTTGTGGGAAAATCTTTTTTTTTCTTACTTTGACTTTTTACGAAATACCCACAAAAAAAAAAAAAAAGTTAATATAAGCATGACTGGCACTTTAATGATGGACGAAGAAAAAGGAAAAATCCTGGCTTATATTGAATATATGAGCACCTAGAAGGTTGTCTAGGAAATGGAGTGTGACCTCAACACAATCCAAAGATTTCTCGCCAAGTACCAGAGAACCAAGGAAATAGCTAATTTGCCAAGATCTAGAAAACCCTGCATTCTCAAACAACAAAAAAAAACGCTCTAGTGAAAGTAGAGATGGCAAAGTCAGTCTAGATCTGGTTTTGGTTCTAGTCCTGCTACACAGACCTTCAGATCAGGTCCTTATATAATAAGTCCTAGAGCTTAGCTTAAATAAATTTGTTAACAACTTCATTAGTGTTTATATTCCAATAATAGCATGTATTGGTATAAAAAAATGAACAATTCTATCAAAGTTAGTCTAAAACTAAGTACTTGAATTCAGTTATAAATACTTTTTAGCCAATTAGAATTTAATTTCATTATCATATTGTGAATACTAATTAGTTAAAAAGTATATATATTATTATATGATATCTACTATAATTAGCATTAACTTTATCAAGATAGTATAGCTAGTATTAAGTTAGAATTAGTATTAAATATTGTAAAATTAAATAAATTAGATTATGTATTACTATATCTAATATTTATCTTTTAATAATTTAATTAGTAAAATCATAGAATTTGGCATTACTATTGTTGCCAATTTATTATTTATAAATAATATCTATCAATAGCTCAGATTGTTTAGTATATTCTATTTTATTTACTAACAAATCTAAAAATAATTATCTAGATATAA